GAGGCCCCCAGCCAGCACCAGCGTGCCAGATGTGAGGGAGGCCCTCAGAAGTGGATCCTGTAGCCCAGCGGTTCTCAACCTGTGGGTCCCGACCCCTTTGGGGGTCAAACAATCCTTTCACAGGGGTCACCTAAGACTATCAGAAAACACATAAATATTTCACAATATATAATTACATATTGTTTGATTAATCACTATGCTTTAGTTATGTTTAATTATGTTCAATTTGTAACCATGAAAGTACATCCTGCATATGAGATATTTACATGATGATTCATAGTAGTAGCAACATCAGAGTGATGAAGTAGCAACGAACATAATGTTATGGTTGGGGGTCACCACCACATGAGGAGTTGTATGAAAGGGTCGCGGCGTCAGGAAGGTTGAGAACCACTGCTGTAGCTCCTGTCAAGCATGACATTTCTTCAACCCTGGCCAACATCGTCACAATAACCCCATAACAGATCTTGGTCCAGAACCACCTAGTGAAGCTGCTACCAAATGTCTGACCTACAGAAACGGAGACATAAGTGTGTCTTGTTTATAGAAAGTATTTTTAAAACATGCTTTGGTGAATTGGATGACGGACGGGCTACAGAGCAAATCGGTTTTCACCCAACAATTCATACACATTTTGTTTCATGTCATTGATCATAATTCCCACCATGTGTTATCACTTATCCTAGTTCCTCTTTGTATTTCCATTCTTCCGTCTTTTCCAGCCCTTCTGAACTCTGTCTGTGGGTAGATGCCGCCTTTTTGATCTCAAGTGGGTGATGATTCTAAGTGTGTGCAACTCCTTCCTGTCATGGTTCCCCTCGTAGATTTGTCAGTTGTTTGACTGAAACTTGAGCTACGGGATCGGTTTCTCGTCAGACCCGCAGGGTGAAGAAGGAGCGCCGTCCGGAAGGTTTGACCGGTCTCTATCCAATCCGGAAGTCTGTGTTTTCATTTATTTATTTAATGATCTTGCGGTGGGTTTTTGTTGTTGTTGTTGTTTAATCATTTTACCAGGGGCTCTTACAGCTCTAATAACAATCCATCCTTCAATCATACCAGCCACATGTGTGCATCTGTTGCCATCATCATTTTCAAAACATTTTCTTTCTACTTGAGCCCTTGGTATCAACTTCTCTTTTCCCCTCGCTCCCCCATATGATCTTGAGTTTCATCCCTAAATGCGTATGGTTTAAACCCACTACATTTTGGAACAATTTATTATATAGTTCACCTTAGCTCTCTCATGCTGCCAAAACAGAAATACCACATGGGAAAGGCTTTAACAAAGACGCGTATCCCCTCACAGCTGGAGAGATGGAGTCCACAGTGAGAGCGCTGGCACCCCTGGGAAGCTCTCTCCCTCTGATCGCTCTGGGGAAGGGCCTTGTCTCCTTTCGCTATCGACAGGCCCAGCGTCCCTTGGTGATCTTCATGTGCCTTGCCATCAATCCTCCCCAGTGCAGGGACCTTGGGTCCAAAGGACATGTTCTGCTGCATGTTCCTTTCATAGCAGTCGGAGTAGTGTAGTGCCCTACTTTCGGCTTTATCGCTTATAATAGATGATGCAGGCCACCTCCCCAGGGAAACGCCCCTTATGTTGCATCAGGGCCGACCTCATTGAAAGTGTTGCATCCCACCCTAATACCCTTACATCACCACCTCAGGTCTGATGACATCAGAGCACATCCTGGCGGCCACATGATATCATTACAGAACTGCCAAATAATCATGGCCCGGCCAATAAGCTGCTCCCTGTCTGTAAGAGGTTGGGGTGGGGATATCGTTCAATCTATGGCACAGCTATAGACAGCAGTAACAATAAGAAGAAGCCTCCCGGACACTGCGTTGACGCTGACTTATGGCAGCCCTGTCAGACAGGTAGGACGGCTCCCATGGGTCTCTGAGACTGCAGCTCGTTATGGAAATAGAAAGCCCCTCCTTTCTCACTCAAAGTGGCCGGTGGTGTCCACCTGTGACCCCGCAAATGCTTGCAATGGTTTCGGACACACAGCAAGGGCGCACCCACACAGCAGTGGCCTCTCCTCCCGACACTGTCAGAGGAGCTGACCCCAGATTAACTGGAGGGTCTGTGGTGGCGACAGCAGGTAGGTCGGCACCACTGGGGTGGTGGGGGGTGAGGGAAGCGGACAAGGCAGTGGCATTACTAGAGTTGGGGTCACCTGTCACCTGGATGGCAACTTATCAACCCTCTCCCCTTCCCCACCAGTCGGAGCTCAGGCTGGCAGAGAAGCCAGCCATTGGACTGGAGGAGGCCCTCACCTTGGCCAATGGGGTGGGGGAGGGGGGCAGTGGGGAATTGCTAGGTGTGGACCAGGAAGGGCAGGGCACCCCTAAACAGGGTGCTTAGCCTTCAAAGGGTGGATGGAGGATAGGTGGGCGGAGTCAGGGATCGGGGCCAGGCCACTGTAACCGTGGGGTTCTGAGGAGTCTGACACCCTAAGTTACCACATCGGGTGCACTGATCCTAGGGACTTCATGCCGAGCACTTTAGCCAGCCTTACTTTTGTTTCCACACATGGGAGGACGAAGGCTTGCCCAGGCCCAGTCCTATTCCTGGGAAGTGGTAAGGCAAGCCATGTCATGAGCCTCTAGAACCTTCCGATATCTCCGGTGAGTAACAATGTTGTTCGCATTCCTACGGAGTCAACGCTGACTCACAGGAGCCTTCTGTGTCCCGGAAGGAAACACTGCTGGAGACCTGGCCGGCTCTGTGCCATCGCTATGAGCGCTGTATGACCGAGTTCTTGTACCAGTCCATCCGAGGGTCTCCACCTTTTCACGGACCCTCTGCTGTACCCGAAGCCCTGGTGGCGGGGTGGGTGACACAGAGGGCTGGCTGCATCACCCAATGGTTGGAAGGCCAACGGTTGGAAGCCACCCGCTGCTCCTCGAGAGAAAGATGAGGTTTTCTGCTTCCAAGAAGATGCACAGCCTCAGAGACTCACAAAGGACAGTTCCCAGTCTGTCCTACAGGGCCACTATGAGCCAGGGTCAACTGGATGGCAATGGGTTGCTTCTATTGTGCAGGGGGACAGGCAAAGGCCCATGCTCACACGGAAGCTTTTTTGTTCTCATCACCCACCACATCTAATCAACAAGTCACAGGGTCCAGGTTCAAGGGAAGGGACATGGACTCTAGTCCTCCGTGGGAGAAGTGTCCAAAAGGAAAATGAGGGCGACATTTTAAAAATCACAGCACATTGGGGGGAACGGGGGAACCAATCACAGTGATCTACATATACCCCCTCCCAGGGGTATGGACAACAGAAAAATGAGTGAAGGGAGACAGCGGTTGGTGGAAGACATACGAAATAATTATTATTTATGAATTATCAAGAGCTCATGAGGGAGGGAGGGAGGGAAATGAATTGATACCAAGGGCTCAAGTAGGAAGAAAATGTTTTGAGAATGATGATGGCAACATATGTACAAATGTGCTTGACACAATGGATGGATGTATAAGAGCCCTAAGTAAAATGATTTGAAAAATGAAAACTAAAACCGCAGCACAGCAGCCTCCCTTGTGGAGGGCACAGGACATGGAACTGGTCACAAGGGCTCAGTGAGCCCTGCATGGCCTGGGGATTGGCCTGACACGGAGGTAAAACAGCCCAAGTTCCGTCCGACTCTAGCCACGTGCTCAGGAAGAGCTTTCGTGGAGAGTGCCCATCACAAGTGTTCAGGGAAAGGGTTGGCACTTGCTGGGCTGCTTCCTGGTGTCTGCCATGTGCCAGGCACTCAGGAAACCAAGATAAGAAACCAGAGAGCAGATATGGAAAGAAACACCCCCCCTGATTTATAGGTGAGCACGTGGAGTGCTGTCAGAGGTGGGCCTCCCTGCCTCAGGCTCAGAGTGGGAACCCAGGCAAAGGGAAGAGGCACGAGAGAGCTGCCGGAGGAGCGGCGTCCAGCTGAGGGCTGTATGGGGCCTGTGGCATCATCAATGCCAGCTAACATCCTTCGCCTCACCAAAGAGAAGCAGTCCCAGCCATTACACATCAGGAGTGTGCTAACCAAATGTTAGACCAATACGGCCCTCGATTGATGTTATAAACATCCAAATGGCCCTTGGCAGAACAAAAAAAAAATCCCGGTTAGGCAAATATAAGTGGCTCAGTGTGATTCTAAGGGGTGGGGTGAAGGGGCAGAAGTGAGAGATGAGTCTCCTGGGACAAGTGGAGCCAGATCCCAAGAAGCACTGCAGAGGAAGACGTGTGGGCTTTCATGGCAGAGTTGGCGCGGACAGTGTCCATGACCCAGGCTTGGACAGCTCAAAGGGTCTCATGCCTTTGCGAGAGCACAGGAGGGGGGTGGGGCTGGGCAGAGGGCTACCTTTAGGACAGATGGACTTTGAGGTGCCTCTGGAGAGTCTCTTTCGGTCAGGGTTTGGGGAGATCTGGCCCGAGGGTCAAGGAACCCTGGGGATGCAGGGATTTCAACTGTAAGCTGCTATCTGCAAGATCAAACCCGCTAAGTGCTCTGAGGGAGAAAGATGAGGCTGGCTCCTTTCATAAGATTTACAGTCTGTAACCCGCAAGGAGCAGTTCTCCTTGGTGCCATCTGTGAGCTGGAGTCCTCTCCCTAGCAGTGGGTGGGTGGCCTGAGGATCAGGGCCGAGCAGCTGAGGGAGAGCCTGGGGTGTCAGGTGAGAGAGGCAGGCCTACGTTCTATAGGAGAGGAGGATCTCGGGAAGAAGTTTAAGCAAGCAATCATTAATATTTAGTGAATGCCCATTATCCGTTGGGCACTGTCCCAAGCACTTTATAGGAACATGCATTTGAACCTCACAATCCTCCTGTGAGGGAAGTGGGATTGCATGTCAGCTAGTTTCAGATCTTGTGGATGGTCACACATACGCTTCTTTTCCGTATTACCCAGGGGGAAATGCCACAGATTGAACATACCTTCAATCGTAAGAGGGCATTTGGTGTCAGAGATGTCAAAAGGTTAAGAAGAGGAGGAGGAAGCGGGCGGGCGCCATGTTGGGCCGGGAAGGTGGCAAGAAGCAGCCCCTGAAACAACCCAAGAAGCAGACGGAGGAAATGGACGAGGAAGAGGAGGCTTTTGAGCAGAAACAGGAAGAAGTGCAGGAGAAACTCCAGGAGCTGAAAGCAAAGGCCAAGGGGAAGACGCCCCTGGCCACAGGTGGAATGAAGAAATCGGGCAAAAAGTCAGCTGTTCTTGGTGACGGACGGACGCCATGAGGACCGTTGATTCCATTCCTGTGTAAACATCTGGATTCCCAGCTATAGCATCTGTTGCCACCTATGGTTAGAATGAAGTGTTTGCTGTCTCGGAGCCTGCTGTACATTTAAGCATAAACTTTTGTGAAGAAGAAGAAGAAAAAAAGAAGAATCAATGAAATCTATCATTCTGTGCATTTTACAGATAAGGAAAACGAGGCACCAAGAGGTCAAACTCCCTTGTTGGAAGTTCGGTCAAGACATGCAAAGCCAGGAGTTGAAATCAGGCAGCCTGACTCCAGAGCTCAAGTTCTCCGCCATCATTTGATCCTTGGCAGGAGTGGATGAGCAGTGTGTAGTTTCAAAGGGACCAGTGTGGCCCCTGGGGTTGAAATGAGACCAGGTCGACTCAGGTGGCCCACTGGGGAGACTAGTGTCCACTGTGAGAATGCTCCAGCACGGGAAGGGCAGGGGTTAGTTAGGGGAGAGGCCCCTCAAGAATGGGCAGGACTTGCTGGCCTGCTGACCCTCGAAGGTGGGAAACGACGACAACTCCAGGATGATAAGCCTGGTGAGAAGGTCCGTCACGGGAGGGCACAGGCAGCTCGCCCAGTGCCCAGGGGAGCTGCGGGCCCAGGCAGTGGGACGGGTGTGCTCTCCTTCAGCTTGGGCAGTACAAGGCTGTACAATGCCTGCTGGCATTCACTAAGAATGCTATACTGTCTTGGGCAAATCAATAGGGGTTACACTTGAACATAAAGAAAATAAAAATCCTCACAACTGGACCAGTAAACAACAGCAGGAGAAAAGGGAGAAAAGATCGAAGGGGTCAAGGATTTCACTTTACTTGGATCCATAATTGATGCCCTTGGAAATAGCGGTTGAGAATTCGAAAGACATGTTACATCGGGCAAATGTGTGGATGAAGTGCACAAGAGATGGACAGCACCTAAGAATGAAGTGCAATGGGATTAAGAGGGACCCGTTTCGGGAGAAGAACATCATGCTTCCAAAAGCAGAGGGTCAGGGGCAAGGGGAAGAGCCTGTAAGAGGCGGACTGACACCGAAGCTGGAACAATGGGCTCAGCACGGGGACAATTGTGAGGATGGCGCAGGACTGGCTCCTTCCGTGCTGTACACGCTGCGGGTCAGAACCGACCGGAGGGCACCTGAATTAATAACATCCATTCAGTGACACACAACCTTGGGCCAGTCACGGATGTCTGGGTCTTGTTGAAATCGTTTTCACTTGTAGATGAAGGGATTGAATTGGAACAGAAAAAAAAGGGACGAACTCTGCTTGAAGTTCCCCCATCCCCAGAGTCTCTCTGGGTACCCCAAGAGCAGTGGTTTTAACCCCGATTGTAGGGAAGCCTACCCTCAAGCCCCATCCTAGACCACTGAATGCAAAGTCTCTGGAGGTGGGTGCCAAGATAGTTGGTTTTCAAATCTGCCCAGGTGATCCCAATGCGCAGGTGGTGGAGAACCCCTGCTCTAGATTCGCTGGGTACCCGGTTTGGACATTGCTGTGCTAGGTAAGGGTTGGGGTCCTCTCAGGCCTACGCCCTTGGGCTGAGCTCTGTGGTTGAGGATAAACCAAAACAAACCCCAAAATAGTCATTGAGTTGGATCCGACTCAGAAGGACAGGGTCGAACTGCTCCCGTGGGTACCTGAGACCCTGTCTTTCTCCTGTGGCTGAGGGTAGGCCTCTCTTTTTCACTGCCATCTCTTAGCCAGGAGACCAAACACCAGGGGTTCTCCACGGAGACACTGTTCAGCTATTGCCAGCTATCTCCAGGGGTGCACAGACACTCCCTGTTGAGAAAACCCATCCTCCCTCGGCCCTCTCCATTTGCAGAGAGAAGCCAGACAGGGGAGGCCAGTCAAGCCGGGTTCAGTTGAGCCTGGCAGCAGGGAGCCTTCCCAGGAGCCCAGGGCCTCACAGATTACACAATGGAGAGCCAGCCTGCCAGCGGGACTGACAGATGTGGTCTCACTCAGCAGGAGAAAGTTTTCTAGAGCATTCATTCCCGGATTCCAGATCAGTCATGGGAAGGCCCAGAGCTGTGTCTGGGGCAAACAGCCCCAGCTTTCTGGAAACGGGCTGGGGGGAGTGAGAGGGGGGTGATTCTTTGCTTGGAAGATATTTTCCTGGCATTGTTGGCTGCCTCTGCCTGATTGGTTGAGGGCGGGAAGGGAAGGACTTTCCAGCGTGGGTGCCCGGGGTCCAGGAGGCCATCTGACGCTGGAATTGTTGGGATGTCTGTGTTGGGCCGGCTGGAAATAAGTGGGAGATGGAACCTTTGGGGCTGGGACTAGAGGTTGGCTGGGTGCTCTTCAAGGGAAGTGGGAGTAGCAGGCACCCACGGAGAGGCCAGGGGCATCTTCAGAGGCCCCTTTTGGCCTGGAGCTGGTGAGACCTAAGGGGGGAGAGTGGGCAAGCAGAGTGAAGGTAAGGAGAAGGCAGGGTGGCTGGTGGGAGGACGAGAAAGGAGCAGAAGTCCTGGGAGCCACCCCAACCAACGGGTATCCCTCAACTCACTCCACCACGAGGCTCAGAATGCCCAGGAGGAGGCCAGCAGCGAAGATGGAGAGGAGCAGAATGCGGGCTTCCCAAAGATCGTGACTTCCTGCAGGGAACCCCGATGGACTCATGAGCGGCCCAGGGGTCCACACCTGCGGGGACAGCCTAAGGGATGGGATCAGGTATCTGGGTGGTGGGGTGTAACCACCTGGGAAGCAGCGCTTGCGGGGCCAGCAGAGCACATCCATGCCGCTGCAGGTGGAGCAGTTGTACAGGGTGGTGCTGCCCCCTGCAGGACAGAGCCGGACTTCAGCTGGACAGCAGAACCCACCCCACCCCCACCCCCACCCCACCCCACCCCAAGGCCATCCTTCTGGACAGCCCACCAATCCTGCTCTCTAACTGCCAGCCCAGGGGGGCCCTGGTCCATCTCTTTTCTACTCACGGCAGGTGGGAGCACAGAGAGCTGAAATGAGACAGAAGAAAGAATGTGGGGGGAGGGGTTCACTCAGCCATACACCTCTCTTTACCCAAGGTCCCGGCCCAGCCCGACCTCACCCGGCTCACCACATCAGTACCTTCCCTGGTGTACTCTGGGATCTTGGTATTGCGAAGCCATTCCCAGTACAAAGGGAGCGAGAAGAAAGAACCTTTGATCTCTGGAGGTACAGAGAGCAACTATATTGCCCAGGACCCCAGCACAGGACCAGTGCCCCTTCCCCTGCTGCGGCCTCGCCAATGACGAAGACGCGGGCCCTCATCTCCTCTCCCTGCCTCCTCAGCTCTGTCCTCCCACCGCCCTCTTTGGAATTTTCCCCAGCCCCTGGGTCTGGCTTTGCCCCTTGACCTCACCCATGACCCTCAGGACTCTGTGAGTCTTCTCTGTGATTCTGTCCAAGGACTCCCCATCTGTGGAGGAGGGGGAAGACCAGAGAGGCCCTCGTCAGCCCAGAAGCAGACACCGGGCCTGTTTGAGGTTCCTGAGATGCTCTCTCTGAATGAGAGGTGAGCGTGTGTCCAGAGAGGCTGCGGGGCGGAGGTGACAGTGGTGTGGCGCAGCCAAGATGTCCGATGCTGTCTCCCTCGGGGTAGCCGATGACTGGGCCCGCCCTGGATGCCTAGTCTCACCTAAGGCAAAGGCTGAGAAGTATCTGGAGGCCCCACAAGCCTCCCACTGGACCCCAGTCCCGCTGCAAATCTTCTCCAGGCGACCCCACAAGTCATGGGCCGGGAGGCGGCAGAAGACACAGGCCCGGGCAGCTGCCAGGACAACCCAACCTAGTCCTAGCACCCACATGAGGTCTGCGGAGGGCAGGAGGCCGACCCCGCTTGTGCTGGGGAGGGCTCAGAATGCTCTGTGATCCCGATTCCGGCTCTTTGCCTGGAAGTTCTAGACTGTTTCTGACAGTGTGGCTGTCCTCAGCCTGCCTGGGGAGAGCTGGGGTCCAAGGAACTGGGGGGAGGGGAGGGCGGCAGTCAGAAGGAGCTATCTCTAGTGGGAGATGGGCAGAGAAAGCAAGGCTCTCGTAAGAGAGAGAATACCATTCACTGTCAGCACTCTACACGTTTGTGGTTACAAAGCGATTTTATTTGTCTTCTTATCACTCATGGCCAGTGCTAATTAGTGACTCCCCCGTGAAGAAGCTGTACTTGAGCATCAAAACCCCTGAGAGTCCCAGAAATCCCATCCCTTCCCAGATCCTCCCCCACTCTTCCAAACTCTCTGGTCCAGCGCCTGCCCTGCAGCCCTGGGCAGCCTTGGGCCTTCCCCAGCATCTCCTAGCAACGGGCCCATGGTTACCCCAGCAACCAAGAGTTCCAAACAGGCCTCAGAGGGCTGGCGAAGCCTAGTGACTTCTCTCTCTCTTCTCACTGTAAGTGGCTGAAATCCTACCATGGTTCTCTCTGCCTACCTGACGATACGTGAGTGTACACACACACACACACACACACACACACACACACAAACACTGTGATTAATTCTCAGTCTACTCACACTTACTACAGACACACCCTGTGCCAATTCAGTCGCTGGGCAAACCCACACAGGCCTGGACATGCACAGCACACAGGAGGCCCAGGGTATTGGGAACGCACACATCCATCCACCAGCCATACTAGCTGACTCTCACACATGCACACCTTGGTCCCCAAGAGAGAAGGGAGGCCAGGACCCAAGAAGACGCCACCCTCCTCCTCATGGCCAGCCCCACCCTTAATATGGAATCCTTACTTGGAATCTGGAGTCCAGCTTGGATCTCCAGAGAGGCGCTCCAGCCTCACAGTTAATGGGGTTACTCCTAGCTCCCTTGGGCCAACCTGGGGGCGGACTTAGTCCCCTGTCTGTTTCTCTCTGTAAGTAGCTTGGGAGACAGGAAAGAACCCTCCTCACCACATTCCAGAGGTTTCTGGCCTCTCATTGGCCAGGCCCGGTCAGGCCAACAGTTTCAGGAGAAACCGAGGTGGATCCAGGCCCTGCGTGGCCCTCCAGGGCCCGGCTGGATGTTGGAGACTTTGGCAGACCCTGAACACAGTGAAGAAGTGCTGGGGGTGGCCAGCCTGAGGCAACCAGCAAAGCCTAAAGCTGGGGAACCTCGCCCCTCACCCCTCCAACCTTCTGGGTAGGTGCCAGCCCAAGTTGGAGAAGCTCACGTTGGAGAATCCCACCCACCCTTGGGCTCTACTCAGGTGTCCTGGGACGCCTGGCTCTCAAGGCTCCACAGAAAGCTGGGAAAAGGCTTCAGGGGACCGCACCCCTCACTGCCCTCACCCATCCCCGCCCTCCCCTCCGCCGCCGGTCTCCCCACAAGGAAACTGAGGGCAGCATCCATCCTCAGTGCCGAACAAAGCGTAAAGATCGAGAGTTGAGCAGGTCCTCCGGGTCCGGGAAAACCGAGTCCAAGCGGAAGCCGTGCTCCAGAGCCGCCCGTAGCACCTCCTCCAGGAAGCCCGTTGTGCCCGTCACCTCGCGCCGCTCTGCTGGCCCCCCAACCCATAGGGGTTGCAGCCCCAGTCTCTCGTACTCCGCCTCAGGGAGTTCCTCAGGACGGGGGGCCCACTCCAACCGAAAGTGTGGGCCCCCCTCTGCTTGGTCTCCACTGGCCACATCAAATCGGGCCCGCATGGCGCCCAGGCACTCGGGGTCCGTGCAGAAGAGGTTAGCGCAGAAGGTGTCCACCTGGACGGCGCTCAGCTCATAGTGGTGAGGGCCCCGGCGGGCAGAGAAGTGTACCAGGCGGGGGCTGGCATCCACATCTGCGTGCAGCAGGGCGGCAGTGGGCGCCGGGGTCACCTGTGATGTTTCCCAGTCCCGTAGGGCATCCAGGAGGGGCCGGATCTGGTAGAAGTCAGCTTCTGCCCGCAGAAGGGCCGTCTCCCCGTACCCCTGGGGCAGGTCCAGGCGGCCCAGCCGCAGGAAGTTAAGGATGTGCCGGAAGGCCTTGCCATCCCTATCTATGAAGTATTGGCCGCCTCCCTGTGGGTTCAGGTTCGGGGCCATGGGGGTGCCAGCCCTAAACATAGCCCCCAGCATGGAGTCTGGGAAGCGGGTCAGGGTCTCCAAAGTGGTGGAATATAGCGTGCCCCCCACATTCAGGGTCACGGGGCCCCCAAAGGAGGGGGGCGAAGGAGACGGAGGAGGAGGGGAAATTTTGGGGGGTACAGGAGACACTAAAAAGAAGAACGAACAGCAGAACTTCTTGGATGTGTGAAAAAAATGGGTTTTCACGTTCAGGATCACTGGGCTGGAGGCACGGGCGCTGGGAATTCAGGCAGCAGAGTGTGGGTGTCGGTGGTGCGCGGTGGCGCCGGGATGGTTTGGGGGTCCAGAGCGACCTGCAGGTCTATAGATCAGATGGAAGGGAGCTTCAGGCCAGACGTGGCCGGTTCTGGGCGGTCGGCGATCTTTTCTGTGCTCTTCCTCCGTGGGTTTCCGGAATGCAACCAGCAGGTGACGGTGGCGAGCACAGGGCGGACTTCGGGGAAGGACCCAGCTTCGGAGTTCCAGGGCGGCTCGCTGGCGCCGCGGGCGAGTCCACGCGGGCTCCCGGGGCCGGCCACAGGGAAGCCGGCCTGGGCTCGGCGAGGCTGGCGAGAACGGGCCGCGGAGCCGCGTCCGCAGCGGCGGGAGC